TGTCTGTTACCTGATGAAAAATAAAAGTGAAGTGTTTGAACACTTCATGGATTATGTGAAAAAGGTTGAAATAAAATTTATGAAAACCATTGAACGAGTAAGATGTGATAATGGAGGTGAGTACACCTCGAACGAATTTAAAAATTTTTGTAAACAGAAAGGTATCACTGTTGAATATACTATTCCTCACACTCCACAACAAAACGGTGTTTCTGAACGGCTCAATCGAACTATCATGGAGAAAGCAAGGTGTATGCTTTTTGATTCGGATTTTGATAAGAAATTCTGGGGTGACGTTGTACTCACTGCTGTATACTTGATCAATCGCACAGAAACATCGGTGCTGCCCAAAAGTGTGACGCCAGCAGAATTGTGGTATGATGAAAAGCCTAACCTCGATAAAATAAAAGTTTTTGGATCTGTTGCTGATATTTGCATTCCAAAAAGTCAATTGACTGGTAAATTGGATAATAGAAGCAGAAAAGTATACATGTTGGGTTACACCTCGGGTTACACTAATAATGGTTACCGTTTGTGGGACTTGGAGAAGGAATCAGTTATAACATCTCGGAATGTAATTTTCAATGAAGAAAAAATTAATAAAAACAAAATAGAGTCACCGTCCATCATCAGGGAAGATAGTCAGGAAATGCAGGAGCCAAGTGAAGAAAGAGAAGAGACAGTCAAAGAAAATGAAAGAAAAGAATCTGTCGGTGCAGACTCAAATGTAGAAGACAATGAAAATAACAGGATAAGAAATAAACGGAAAATAAAACTCCCACAATACTTGAATGACTATGATCTTGATTATGAATTGTTTGCAGCATTGTCAATTGGTGATTTTGACCCTGAAACTCCAGAAAATTTTGATGAAGCAGTTTCTAGGGGACACGGCTGGCAAGAAGCCATCAAGGAAGAATTGAACTCATTGGAAAGTTGTGGAACCTGGGAAATAGTGCAAAGACCTGAAAGTGAAGGGATAATAGATTCGAAGTGGGTGTTTAAGAAGAAAGAAATTAGTGGAAAAACTGTAAAAAAAGCACGTTTGGTGGCGAGAGGCTTCAAACAAAGTGAAGTGCATGAAGAAATCTATGCTCCCGTTGCTCGAATGCTAGGTATTCGTATTTTGCTGTCACTTAGTGTTCAGGAAGACATGCATATTCATCAGCTAGATGTTAAACATGCATTTTTGAATGGTTTTTGTAGATCCAAGGCGGACCCATGCCTGTATTTGAACAGTCAGGTATATCTTTTAATTCATGTCGATGACCTTATTATTTTTTCAAAATGTTTGTCTTCTATTAAAGAAGTGAAATCTAAACTAATGTCTAAATTTAAAATGACTGATCTATCAGGAAAATCTTTCAAGTTTTTGGGTCTATCAATTGTGAAAAATGAAAATTGTCTAACTATTAATCAAAGTGATTTAATTAAAAAAATTCTTGTAACTTTTGGCATGTCAGATTGTAAGCCTTCTAATTTACCTATGCAACCAAAATTAATTTTGACTAGAGATGAAACATTGATTCATGAAAATATGCCTTATAGAGAACTTGTCGGTTGTTTAATGTATGTGATGCTCGGATCTAGACCAGATATCTGTTTTACTGTGACTTATTTCAGTCAATTTCAAAATTGTTTTAAACTAGAACACTGGAAACATCTAAAAGCTGTTCTAAGATACTTGAAAAAAACAGAACACTTTGTTCTTAAATATGTAAAAACAAAAACTAATTCTGGAATAGATTCTTGTATTCTTTCTGGATATGTAGATGCAGACTTTGCTAATGATCCTAATGATAGGAAAAGCATTTCTGGTTTTTGTATTAATTTTCTAAATAATGTTGTGTTTTGGAGATCATAGAAACAAACTATTGTATCCCTATCAAGTGCCGAAGCAGAATATGTTGCTCTCTCTGCTTGTGTCATAGAATGTTTATTTATTGCTACTCTGTTAAATGAAATTCTTAAATGTATTGTGTACCCGATAGAAATTTTTGAGGATAATCAATCGTGCATCAAGATGGTCAGTACTTTGGAAACAAAGCGCACTAAACATATTGATGTTCGACATCATTTTTTGAGAGATTGTTTGGCGAAAAATCAAATAAAACTTAATTATATTTCCACCAATGAGCAAACAGCTGATATATTTACAAAGGCTGTAACTCCTCAGAAATTTGATTATTTACGTAGCAAATTAAATGTAACCTCGAATTAATCAAAACTGTAATAATATTTTCAAGAGTATTGTAATTTTTTTTTTTATAACTTGTATTTTGTTAAGAAGTTAAGTTTCTCATTGAATATTGTAGAATTGAGAGGGTGTGTAAATAGACACTAACAATTCTACCAGCATTCACATGACGCAGAGTGTGTATCCGTCTTAAGTTATGTTTGTCGTAGTCAGCTGTCGCTGTAAAATTGTCAATGCTTCAGTTTCTGTTGTCAAGTCGAGTCGAATGTTGTAAGCTGTTATCGCTCAATAAATTAATTAATCAGTATTAAAACAAGTTCTTTTTACTACTGGCTTACCTACGGAAGTTAGGCAAGTTGTCTAAACATTCTACATAATCTTGGTACTCTATGGCCCTGGAATTATTTTTGTATAATTTATTTTTTTTTCCCCCTTTTACAGCTTTGTCAACGAGAATTTTGTTCTTAGACAATAAAGCATTTTTTGACTTTGACTTGACTATACAAAAATGATCAGGAAGTAATAGCGGAGCGAAAAATGCAATAATATACAGGGTGTCTCATTTAAAATTTCAAAGTTCATTTTACTTTTTGGTATAAGCGGCAACGTCGCATCGTTAAAATTATTTTAGAAAGATAGATCAGGAGTAATTACTTGGACATGCAAATTTTCAAAAATATCCAACATTCCGTTTTCCATAAACATCTAACCTACCATCGACCATCAATCACCCTGTATATCAGGATATTTATAGCATAAATATGATATTTATCAAGATATATATCAGGATATATATCCTGCCAACCCTTAATGTACTCAATCAAAAAATGCAAAAGTTTGAACAATGCCAGGTCAATTATTTTCCACAAAGCGTATTCATTCCGAACAGAAAACGAACAGCTTATCAAGAAGATCAGGGGATTCAATTTGTTCGCGATAACGCCTTACTTCAAATCATTGGAACAAAAAATTAAAAATTGTGACTTCGATGTGGGAGAATACAATGAAGCCGGAATGCGTTACGTTGCGTCCTGAACAATGGGGCTGGATAATGAGGGAAGTACTTGAACTTGCTTGGTTCGAGGGGAATCCCACCCCCTTGGCCCCTTAAGTATTAAAGAAATTTTGAAAAATGATCAAAACAGAAATGTAAGTGACGAAAGTGACGTTTGAGATGATTCTGTTGATTGTTGTGATTCAGATGATGATTGGATAGGGCATAAACTCAAGGGTAGAATATCTATCTTTAGAAAGTAGAGTAAGTATTATGATTTTTTGTATTATGTATAATTTTTTCTGTGAACTTTGATAATATTGTGGCATCTTTGTATTTCGTTGAAGAATAAATATTACCACAACTGCATTTCCATTGCGATGTGTTTTGCGCTCTTAATCCTCTTCTTTTCATAATGTTCTTGAAATAGGGAACTTGCAAGTGAACTAGAATTTTCGAAATTTGTTTTTAATCAATAGTTTATACTTCACAATATTTATATGACCAAGTTTTATCTGATACCGCCCTTGTTGCACAAAAAGTAATACTAAATTTGAAACACAAAATTTCCCACCAAAACAATGCTTTCATGACGGCTACCTTTTTTGACGTCACGATTCTGTAAACAAACCTGTCAATAGGGAATTTGCAAGTAAAAACAAAAAAATACAAAAGCAGTCCTTTACAATATTCTTCATCAATTGCGGCAATTTTCACAAAAAGCAAACTTTACCACACTTGAATAACACAAAAATAGCACTGCGTCAGCAGGAGTTCGTTTGCTGCGTATTTGTTGTTTACAAAATCTTAACGTCACAAGAGCTGTCATATTGAGATTTCGTGTTTTCGCGCCAAAGTTTTTGATTTGAATTTCAATAATTTTTTTTTCGTACAACTTATAAATTAAAATGGAAAAAAAGAAAACTATGTAATAACTGATCACTAGAAGTATCTAAAAAAAAATAATTTGAGAAATATGAAAATTCCCTATTGTACATGAATTTTATTCTACAATTTTCTTTGTATAAACAGTTTCATGATTGATCAAGTACCGGCACCTAAAGTGTCGAAATGTCGTTTAATTAACTTTGGTAGGTATGAAATTTTCAGACGTTTTTCCCTTATAAAAAACTTTTTGGCGTAGATTTTGTGCGTCAATGATGAAAAAGGTATATGTTATAAAAAAACGGTCCATTTCTTAATTGAAATAACATGGTTTCCGCAAAATTTCAAGAGTTTATCATTTCGGGTACATTTCTTCATGACGAATCGATAACATAACATTCGAAAAGTGGTTCGCTTCAAGGTCGAAATAATGAGCGGGCTCTTGGACTAATTAGGACCAGTATTTGAATAATTTGAAAAGTCTAAAAAAATTTCAAATGTTAAGTTTCGAATACTGGAAGAGTAAAAAATTGTTAAGAGTGAATTCAAGGGAAAATGCAGATTTCGCAGATAAAAAACAAAAATTAAAAATTTTGAACAAAATAAATAGGTGAAGATTGAGTTCTAAAAGTTGATAGTATCAGAATTTGTTTTTCTTGTTCATGATTTTTTTTTCACAAATTTCCACCAAATATAAAAACCTGATGTTGAATATAGCATTATGCCCGTATGTATTACATCTGTGTATTTTTCCGTGTATTTATTCATGTAGTTCAAGAGGACGACCAAAAAACTTCAAACGCAACATAAATCAGCATTATGAAAAACAAAATAATGTTGGCACCCTGAATTACATGAATAAATACACGGAAAAATACACAGATGTAATACGGCCTTTAGAATGTTTAATTGATTAATTCTTACCTGTCCCTTAATGGCAACGGGTCTCTCGAAAGTCCCGTGCATTCCCAAAATAGCAGACTGAGGAGGATTGATGATGGGCGTACCCATCAGAGAACCGAACACGCCTCCATTGGATACGGTAAAAGTGCCGCCGTCCATGTCTTCAATTGCTATCTGATTTTTCCTGGCTTTCTCTCCCAAAGCGGCCATGGCCAATTCGATTTCGGCAAAGTTCATACTCTCAACGTTCCGGATCACGGGGACAACAAGACCTGAAGAAGAGACGTTTTTTTAGATTTATTATAATAAAATTCAAAAAAAAAAATCCATCGACAAAGCATGTAAAATAACTAAAAAATACATACACATTAGTATGCATCCAATATTCCTAAAGACAATACAAGAAGCCTAAAAAGAAAACAAAGAAATTTTCAAAATACAGGGTACCATTTAGAGCCATTGAGATTAGCAATATTTCACTTCATCATGAATTTTTCTAAATTTTAGTATGTATGTAAATTATTTGTTTACCTTTTGGGGTGGCCACAGCTACAGAAATGTCCACATAGTCTCTGTAGATGATTTCGTTGCCCTCGATGACGGCATTGATCACAGGTTGATCCTGAAGAGCGTAGGCTGATGCTTTGAGGAAGGCCGACATGAAACCCAACTTGATACCGTATTTTTTGATGAATTGATCCTGATGAGTTTTGCGGAATTCCATTATGTTCCTATATCATAATAAAATAAATAATCTTCTCACACTATACAATTACCACTAAATTATTCATGAAAACTATAATTCACAATGAAACACATTGATAACAAAAACAAAAGCAAGGAAAGAAAATAACTGCAGTGGGCTAAAAAAAATTTAAAAGTGAAATTACTTACGTCATATCAACCTCATTGAAGGTGGTTAACATGGCAGTCGTATTTTGTGCCTCCTTCAACCGTTGGGCGATTTTTAGCCTCATCCGGTTCATTTTGACACGCTGCTCGCTCCTAGTACCAGTTATTTCTTTGGTTGGATCCGATGGAGGCATCTACAAGACGTCATTAGCTATTATTGACAACCAAATATATATTTTTTTCAAAATGACTTACCTTTACTGTGGCCGAAGCTTCAAGCGATTGAGCGTGTCTGATGGCAGCCACAGGAATCGACGACATGGGAGCAGCTGGTTTGGGTGCCGGAGCAGCTGGTTTTGGTGGTGGGGGTGGAGGTGGAGGAGATGCAGCACTGGGTTTTGGGGGTGATGGTGGTGGAGGTGTGGGTGGTGGAGGCGGCGCCGCTGCAGCGGGCTTAGCCTGTTCTTTAGGGGCCGCTTTGGCTGGGGCTTCGCCAGTGATTTTCAATTTGAACAGAGGCTGGCCTGCTTTGACCGTGTCGCCATCTTTTACGAGGATTTCTTCGATGATACCGTGACTGTGCGAGTGCACTGGCATCGACGTCTTGTCGGTTTCGATTTCCGCAATCACTTCGTCGGCGGCCACTGCGTCACCGACTTTCTTGTCAAGTCTGAAATATTAATCATGGTTAATGTGGAAGACATTGAAGAGTGATAGGCACGGGTAGTTCTAAGATCCCAAATTGTATCTCCTTTGATATTGGTAATGAACGGAAAACTCTGAAATTGTTCGAAGATTCCAGCAAATTTTAACTTTTATTTTGTTAGCAGTATAGAAAAAATTAGCGAAAGTATTCAAAATGGTCAGAAATGGACTAATCTTGATACAAATTTGAATTTGGAGATTTCTAGGTTTAAGTTGTTGAATATGTCTGATGCTCGAAAAATAATATACCGGGTGACAATGAAACTACTACCCGAGATAGAAATATGCAACTTGGTTTGTTGATAGGGTTGAAAATTGTGAACAATTTTAATATAAAAACAATTTTATGTCTTTTCCGGTTTCACCGAAAATGGCATTGACATTGTTATTTTAAATGGGACACCCTGTATATATTTATTTTTTTGGACTCTCTAAACAATTCTAAATAACTTTTGTTTAACATACCCTGTGTCAAAAATTGATAGTTTTTGAAATAGAGTGGCTCAAAAATATGTCGTAATTCCTATTTATTTGTATTTTACGTAAAAACTGCCATTCAAGTGAGGTGCAAAAATATATGGGAAAACCCTGTACCTGCCGATACTAATATATTTGGGGGAATCCCAGGAAAGGGAAACCAGCGTCGTGGTTGCCTCTGCTCACCGAATACCCAATTAACTGGCAGAGGCTCCCAATGTTGCATTGAATTGCCGACATGAGAGGAAGTTTTCAGGGGAGGCGGCTAAATTTCAATGGGGGCCCCGGCCCCCTCTGTCACCTCCCTGGCGTCGCCACTGCGTCAACTATCTGCCACTCGGCGCATCAGTTTATATCCAATGAATAATTAGTGGTTCTAATCTAATTAATGTGAATAAAATTAATACAGTGACGTCCCCAGAGGACGGCAGTCTGCCCCACCCTCCTTTCTTTTTTGTATAATTTTTTTTTTAATTTTTATGTTGTAGACGACCTTTGGGTAATAATTTGAGTGTGGCAACCCCAAAAAAAAATTCAGGGAGCCTGTGGCAAGCTGCCTCCGGTGATAAGTGTGTATTGGATTCATCATTGGAGATTTTCTCAGTTTCCAAATCCAAATATCTAGGCATAGTTATAGATCAGTTCCTTAAATGGACTGATCACATAGAATACTTAACAAAAAGAATCCATAAATTAGTTTACAAATTCTACTGAGAGATTTTTTGACCACCAAATTGCTAGTTATGATTTACAAAGCGTTGGTGGAATCACTTTTAAGGTATGGATTGATTGTATGGGGAGGGGCTTATAAGTCAAACAAAATAATGTTGAATGTGGTACAAAAGTACATTCTTAAAGTTATGTATAATAAAAAAAGGAATTTTCCATCACAACTATTATTTGATGAAATCGTAGCTAGTAGACTGTTTGTATATAGAGTTAGGGTGTTTATACTGTTATAGGACAGAACATTTCAAGAGCTTTGCTGGCCATTCATATTCAACTCGATCAAATGTAAAACAAAATTTATTAATACCTAAAAGCTACAAGAATATTAATTTCAAATTTATAAATTATTTGGCTCCTAAATATTATAATATATTGCCTCTTCATATTCGCAATATTAATAACCTCAAGCAGTTTAGGAAGAAAAGTAGGCTGTATATTGTACAAAATTTTGAGAACATGGAACTGGGTAACACTCTCTGCCAGTTATATAGGTTAAAATGATAATTGTCAGCTCAGTTTTGGGAGTTTGCCTTGGCTCCATCAATTTATTTGATGCCTTTTGGGTTTTTGATTTTGTTGGGTACCTACTGTAAGTTTTCTTGGTTTTTTTTTTGTGCATTGCACATACAGATTCTACAGCATCTAGGTGCATATATTTACTAGTAATGTAAAAACAAATAATAATGTAATCATATATAAATTAAATACTCAAACATTGTAAATATTTTTTGAAAAAAATAAATAAATTTATTCGCTTTGTAAAACGTTTTTTGCGATATCTGGTGTTATTATAGATATGTTCCAACAGACATGAGAACTGTAGTCTAGAATGGTAATTTCCAGTCGATCAATTCATCTGTCAATTAGGGTAAATGTTCAACTTATTTAAAAATAGGTAGGCAACTGGAAATTACTGGTTCTGGAACAGTTTTTATGTCTGTTGAAACAGAGGTTATATTTGCAATTTTGACTCGCAATTTGTTTATAAAAAAATTGACATTTTTTTTTTTTTAATGAAAATTGAACTGTTTTTGCTATTATTTTTACAATAATAAACACAAGCAAATTCATTTCACAGTTGACGCTCTAGTTTCCAATATTGTCCAGACAACATAGCCCCACCATGCATACTTGCATAGCAAATTTAGGAAATTTAAAAAAAAAAAAATTAAAGAGTTTGACTTTGGAGCTTTGTATTGCGACAACGGAATCATTGAAGCTGCATCGAGACCTTGATTGAAACTCCTATTTAGAGATTTATAGTAGATTTAACTGGCCCTAATTTGAGCCTAATTAGGTACTTTCAAGATCAGATTGGAATTAACAAAGAAATGAGTCAAAATATAAAACATGTCATGCTCGAAAACGACATTGAGGAAATTTTGAACAAAATTCGATTCAATTTATTCAATAATCATTAATGGTACAAAGAAAAAATAAATATAAAATCAAAATCCAGTATGAGGTTTTACATAATTCAAAATTTAGCACCTAGGTGTGAACCCGTATGTGGTGCTCTGTGTTACATAAAAGGATATAAATTTTATCACAGCTAGGCTTTTGACTATTTCACTAAAATTTCAATATAAACTAAAAACAGAAGAAAAATACTTAGATAGTCATGGACATAAACTCTTTTTTTTCTCAAATTTAGTCAAAGTTGCCCAAGTTTCAGCTTAGTTCAAGTTTTGAGTTCCTATCCTATGTAAGAATACACATAAGGAAACTCAGATTTTGGATCTTTTTAACTTGAATGTTTAGCTACTAAAGCCACTTACCTAATATCACCCTCTGTCACAGACTCGGGAAAAGCGGGGCATTTCACTACATTATCATTCATTAGCAGAGAAGAAGTTCTAAAATATCGTTTGGTGCATCCGCAGATTGATTTCTGAGGGCTGCAAAAGTATCACTTGAAAATCCATTTCTTGATATATAAAAAAAGCACTCACCTAAACATATATTCATTGTTACTGGAGCTAAACTGGTAAGTACTAAGCCTCCGAGCCCCATTTCCTATGGTAACCTATAAAAAAAAAGTGTTACATAACCGGCACATAAATTGGCAATGAATAAGCTTAAACTATTATGTAAGATTAAAGTTTGAAATTCGTAGTTTATTACCTTTGATATACTGTTATCCAGGCACTTATTCAAAGTCCTTATCACTGCTCGGGGTATTCTTCTAGTTGCCATTATCGTTAGCATACTGGACATTGTACCGTATTATTTAATTTAACTAATTGCACCCAATCAAATCATATGTTCCCCGTGCTATTAATAAACTTCCTAATTTGAAAAAATATCACCTCAATAAATAAATATATAAATAAAAAATTTATCTTTTCTTACCCCTTTTGCTTTTGGTAGAGTAATGTCCACAGCTGACAACCCCACAATTGACATTAGTTGTATTCCTTTCACACCTAGGACGAGCTCCGGAACAGCTCCGGGGCTTCACGCGCTTATTCCTTTCGAAAAGTGTTTGTTGCACCACGCATCTGTTCCCTGCAAATCGCGGGCGACTAAACACCGGAGCGAGTAGCTCAAGTGTTTCAAGCTCTTGAAAGGAATACAACTATTGACTTTGCAACTGTCACAAAACGGGGCATGTACCGTTCTCGGCTGGCAGCAGAGGTCTACAAGAACCGAGTTCCATATTGTTCAAATAATATTTTTGGAGTAAGTGGAGCAAGACTATTTTCGTTTCGAAAAAGGAAATTTTTGTTTTGTTCACTCCGGCTTGTATTTAGCGGTTTCGACTTTTGCCTCAAAACTGCACCAGATTGATCGAAAAGCGATCCGGAACGGATTCACATGTTCGGCTCAAAACGGAACGTTGCTCTCGGTGAGATTCACGTGTTCCAATTGAGTAAGAAAACGCTCACACGGAGCGCTCTTTCTTGCTCCGTCAAATTTGATGGATCAAAGATATTGGAGAAAAACAATAAATTAGAGTTCGGCTGTTAATCTCAAATGGTGTGTTCTCGTTTGGATTATAATCGCTCTATGAGCACTTCGGCCGTTGAACACTTTCGCAGAAATCTGTGACGTCACCGCCTAGACGAGTAGGTTCTTTGAAAAATTTGTATCGATTATAGTGCATCGAGGGCATATCGATACATTGTATCGATATCGATAAGCCTTCTTCTGCTAATAAATAGCAAGTACTGCTTTTCAGTATGCACATTGGCGCGCTCTAGAACACCCCGGGAGCGCCACACACTAGATTTGTACCGTTCCAGTATCATGACGTGTGTCGTTTGTCCGTACGTATAGCTTGGGAGCTCAACGCTCCGAGTAGCTCCGAGCGTCACACTCATATACTGGAAAGCGGCTAATAGCAAAATAACCGCAAACCACATGTTGCTTGTTTGTTGTCGTTTGTAGTGTTAACTTTGTTTACCTATTTACGTCGTTTACATAAGATGGGTTCGGTTGGTCACTCCGTGCACTCCGAGTGACTTCATTCGCACTCCAGCCGTTCGGGTTGAGGTTCGGTTCGGGTATTGCTTTTTACCGTATTAGGGGTGACTCCATTAGCTCTGTTCACTCCACTCCAACTTTGCGGTGAATAGCGAACCCAGCTGTTGTTAACTTCTTCTTCTTGTTCTGTAACCAATCATTTTGCGGTGTTCTTTTTTAATCAAAAACAGAAATTTTTGTGTTTTTTCCCCGATAAACTTGTCATTAAGAGGCTCCCTTCTTGAAATAACTGGGTGGAAACCAAGGATAATACACATTACTACCACAGGATAGCCTATCCTCATAAGGTTTGTTAAGTTTAAATCTCAAGTCCCTCACGCAAGGTTGTTTAAGAGAGGTAGGTTAGGTTACCTGATAACATTCATGACGCCATCTGGGGTGCCTCAACATAATGCCAATCTCGATAAGGCACTCTAGATAACGTCATCAAGTTACCCATTACCAGACCAAGGTTTCTGACGACCTATTAACTTTATGAACCTTGCCCCTCACCATGCCAAAACACCAGTGAAGACCTAGGCAACGTGCAAGGATAATAATACACTCTACTACAGAACTGCTTATCGGCCTCTTTTTTGGTAATCGCGGTTATATAAAGCGTTTTCTTGCGAGCAAATGTTTCGAACTACGGTTTAAACCAATTTGTAGATGACGTCATCAATGATGAACGCGAGAAAATGGAAGGTTCTAACACAGTCTTATGTCAACGGAGAACAAGCCAGAAGTCCAGGTTCAATGTGACGTCACTAGTTCAACGCAAAAGTTTACAACTTCAAACCTTTATGATCCGGATCGAACCAGTTCCACCGTGAGAAAACAGCTCTTCCGAATTATTTCACGATCAAAAAATCTTAATATAAGTGCCCTGGAACACATAGAGTTTACTCTTTTTTAATCACAATTCATTTAGAACCGGTTCTAAATCGACTCTAACTGATTTTAATTTGGGAGAGATTTGTTCGGACTTAATTTAGAATCAGTTTTGAATTGAACTGGGCTTACGAATTTGTTAATTTTCAAATTGATTCTGAACAAATTCATTATGGTTGCGTTGTTCCGAACACATTGAATTGTTCGGAGTTCATTAAGTACCGATTCCAGATGATTTTTGAACTGATTCTCAGAGTTCCAAATAGTTTGATTGCTGTTCCGAATTAGAGAAAATCATGAACTAAAAAAAAATTATTATACGCATACGTTGCGCAATTAATGTTCTAGAACCCATGAAACTTACTATAGTTCATTGGTTCCAGAGCATTTCTGAACTGGTTTTTAGAGTTCCCAGTAGTTCGATCGCAGTTCCGAACTAGAAAAAATTATGAACCAAATATTTATTATCAAATATATTGGAGCACATCGATTGTTCGTAATTCAATTAAAACCGGGTCCGAATAGATTTTGAAGCATTGAACTGGTTCACAATCGAGCAATCTTTAGTTTTGGTTCCAGATCATTGTTTGCGGTGCAACTAGAATCAATTCCAAATCGGTTTTTTTTGTTCTTAAACCCAAAAACCTGTTTCGAACTCGTTTGCTTCAATATTCGAACTTACTCTATTTACTTCAAAGGAGTAAATAAAAATACAATCTTGAGTACTCGAAATATGGTAAATAGAGTAATTATGTCCATGTTTGAGTATAAGGAGCAAAAACAATACAACTTTTCAATAAATAAACCTACTCTATTTACTCTAAAACAATAGTACGAGTAAACAGAGTTAAATTTAGTGTGTAAAACGAGAATCACAGACCAAATGGAGTAACGGCTAACATTGCCCTATGATAAAGTTGTTTGGTTTTCGTATCCCTCCATTATATAGCCGCTTTCCAGCTGACGCTTTTGAGCACGCAATCGAGCTTTTGCACGCGCAAATGCTTTAAGCGCGTTTTCGTGTTACAGCCGTACTGCGCTTCGAGAGCTGCTAACTTTTGCGTTTCAAACACAGAACACTGTGCTGCACCGTGCTTGAAGCACACAGCTGGAAAGCGGCTTATATAACCCACGAAACAGTAAACAATATTCCCCAATGAGTTTCGATCATAAAAAAACCTACACTGGATCCAGAATTAGTGTTCTAGAGGCAACAATAAACCGAATTTGAGCTTAGCCTACAAAATCCGCAAATGCCGGCTATGCAGGCACCTGCAACAATAAATAGAATTCTATTTTAGTTAAGTCACTTGTCATTTTTAATATAAAATTCTATCAATCAAAGGCATTTTTTCGTTGGGCAAATAGTTCAAACTACGGATCACCAATTTATAAATGACGTTCTCACTGGTGAATGCGGGAAAATGAAAGGTTTTTGAATACAGTCTTATGTCAAGGAAGAAGCCAAGAGTCTGGTTCGAACTTTTTCGAATCAGGTTCAATGTGACGTCACTGTCTGTCAACGCAAGAATGTACAGGTTCGAACCTAATTGAACCAGTTCCACCGCGAGAAAACAGCTAGTGAAGCACCATTGCCGACCTCATTAACCAAGTCGTCAACTTTTTGCACCAGTGGTAGTGGTTTAGAATTTAAATTAATGATCAAATATTATTTTAAATAAAAAAAAGGCAAAGAGGAAGATGTGAACGAGATCTAAAAAAGAATTATTTTCGAATGTTAATGTAGTAAAACCAGTATGCACATGAAGCAAAAGCTAGCGGAATTATAGCCTGTAGTGCAAACACTATGTCAAGGCGAGAAACGACACGCTTCTACGTCATCACTGGTAATTTAGCATGGTGGGGATTTGAGATTTGAACTACTACACTGGCCAAATGAGGATAGGCTAACCTAATCCTGTAGTATTATTAGTGTGTATTATCGTTGGAAAGCGTGTCGTTTTTCGCCTCTTATAGTGTTTGCACCACAGGTTATGATTCCGCGGCTTTTGCTTTCTGCATACCTACTTTGTTTCACTAAATTACCATTCTAAAATAACTCTTTTTTAGATCTCGTTTGCATCTTCCTATTTGCCTTTTATGTTAATCCAAATGAACCAAATTTTAAACTACGACCGCTGGCGCGAACAGCTAACGACTTAATTAATGACGTCGACAATGGTGCTATACCATGATTGCGATTACCAAAAACAAGGCCGATAAGCTTTTAGAGTTTTGTGTCCTTTGGATCCAAAAACACTTTTTAACCTAATAGCAGAATTGGTCATAAAAACGAATTCTTAAACACTATAATCTTGTTAAAAAATCACCTTTTCTACATTTAAAATCGACGAAAAAACAAGCTCAACCTGAATCGCAAGCATAGACATTGAGGCCTGCGGTGACGTCACCACTATAAGCTGCTAATAGTGGTGACGTCACTCGCACACCTTACCGATTCCAGAATTACCAAATGTACGCCTTATGAGGATGAGCAATCCTATTATTATAGCTTACAATATTTGCTTTGGATCACATGTAACTATGACCAAAACTCCTGGTGGTTTATTCTTCTATTTTCAATTCGACATAAAACTCCCCAAAAGCCAAAAGGTATCGTAGTAGACTTTAGAGGGAATAAATATAACAAGCCAATAAGTTCTAAAAATTTTATTTATAAAAAAGCTACTTAAGACACAGTTTCTACTTTATTATCCACTCTTGTAGCATCTGCAATCATATAATGGGTTTTCCTAGAAGGTTCCTTTGGTGGCAACCAATCAGGCACAATTTTATCGTGCACCCTCCAAATACCATACTGATTGGACATGTGCTTTTCAAACACCACATACTCCAAAACATCTTTGGCCAAAATCTGACTGCCGTGCATGAGCCTGCCAAAGCGATCGTAAATCGCCAAAATTTGCTTTGTGTGGAACCTCACGGTTACTTGAGCAAAAATATTGTCTCGAGTGATGACGTTTGTGTGCCTTGCATGAACAATTCTTGGCATTTCAATGTCTTTAATGTATTGCCAATTAATGGTTTTATTGTTGGTGTTGTGGATGATTTCAGGATAAGCCCTTTCAGTTACGTATTTGATGATATCTGGGTCATTTTTCGCCATCAACTCGTGCGTTTTTATGTAGATTTGGGTGGCTTCTTTGCAAAACGTCGCTGCATCAAACTCTTCTTCATATTGCCTGATTTTCCTTACGGAAAGCATCGTCTTGCCTTTCTTTTCCAAGTATTGCAAATTCTGTTTGGCCCCTTGAGTAGTTATCGGAGATATTTTGCCGTCCCCTTCAGGAGGTATGTAAGGCTCGAAAACTTGTCCTGTAGATGATATGGAGACTTGCTGCTCTTGCCAGGGCCTCGGAGGCAGCAAGCCATTCTCTTTCAGACGCTGTCTTATTTGTTCTTCAGTTAAATCAGAGTTTTTCTCACGGAAATTGGGCAAATCGATTTTAAAAACTTTCAGGCGACGTAACTGCTTCCATTTTGGGTCCCAGTGTTTGGTGCGACGATATCTTACGAACTGGGAGTTTACATTTGGGATAAATGAAGCTAACTTTTCCTGTTAAAATATTTTATGTAAGCATTTTAAATTTGTGAATATAGAGGTGCTTCTAACCTGCAAAATAGTCCGACTGTTTGTTGATAAAATAAGCCCTCTCAAAGCCATTAGAACTATGTTATGATGTATTCAAATGTGTTTTATTGAATTTTAATGGTTTTTATTTAGAAAAATCATTTAATTAAAGGGAATTTATGAAACTTTAAATTCTAATTTTTAATAAAAACAAGATAAATCTCTTCTTGACTTGGAATTGACAATTGACATTGAAAATATTGACATTCGTTGTCCGACTCTGGAGTCAAAAAAGCAACTTGTAGCCATCAAAAGTTGTATTCCTTTCACACCTAGGAGGTGCTCCGGAACAGCTCCGGGACTTCACGCGCCTATGCTTTTCGAAAAGTGTTTGTTGCACCACGCATCTGTTTCCTGCAAATCGTGGCGACTAAACACCGGAGCGAGTAGCTCGAGTGTTTCAAGCTCTTGAAACGAATACAACTATTTTGATTGGTTCGACTTTTCAACAAGGAGTCAGAGTGGTATTAGAGCAGAATTTTGTAATGGCGTATTCGACTACCAGCTCTAGTGCGCACTAAGGTCGCATTTTGCGAGTGCAGTGCAGTAATTTATGTTCAGGTTGACTGAGCTTATTAGCGAGCAAATATTTTTAGTGTTCGACTAGCCGAGCCAACTGCGAGCAGACCGATACTTTGTGTTCGGGATGTTGGCGTAGTTCGTCTAGCGTTCGAACTTATCTGAACTGTAATTTTTGGCGGTGCAAGTAGATTGCACTGGATTCTTTGAAAAAATAACCTCAATTTTCAATCTGTTTTCGATTCTCTTTTATATTATTTATTTTGCGTTTTTAAATGTTTGCAAACTGAAAGTTTGTGAAATATGAGTAGAAAGAGAAAATTGATGGCATTATTACCTCAGATGTATTATCATCACATCAAGTAGTAGTAGCGGAGCAGTGGCTTGGCTGCGCTGCGTCATTGGACCCCCAGCTCGCGATCGAATCGCCACTATACCCGCTCTCGATTTACAGCGCAACTGCACCATCATGTTTCGAACTTGATCAGAGACAGCGCTGCGTAGTCGAATACGTCATAACATTTTCTACGGCTGAGTTCGGCTTTACACTCTGTAAACTCCGAGCGCGTCCGAAACGATGACTCAGAGTGTTCGCTTTTACGTTCGAGTTACAATCGAACAAGTTCCCTGAGCTCGCTTTCTTTTCCCTGGGGCGTGTTTGGGTTGACGCTCGACGGAGAGAGCAGAGCGATTATGGAGTAACGTGACGTCACAGGGAGTACACCGTGTCAAGCCAAATAAACTTGTGCAAAAATGCTGGGTTGATCGATCAGCTGATTATTGTTTATTTTTCTTAGCATATATTTTTTGGAGTCCGAGCCTGCATTCCGCATTTGCACCAGAGTTTTCTCGTTTGTTTTGCATTTTAGCCGATAATTTTCAAACAGCCCCATTTTCTTTTGTATTTTGCAAAAAATATCGTGTTACATACCTAAACAATAAAACGCACCTAAACACTCTGAGGCTGCCAAGTTCCCTTGGAAAAATATGTTCAATAATACCAGTGATGAGGACTATCGAGAAAATTTGTTCAAAAGTAAACAATTATGCAGAATTTACTAGCTATTTGATTGTTAACATTTAAACATAGCTAAAACTATCCATCTAACAAGTATATGTTAAAATTCGGGATTGTTTATTTATCTTATCACGGAAATTAGGTTAGGTTTTACAGACAAATTAAACTGCGCATGCACGCTCCAGCTGCCCACCCCACAAACTCGCAGTTTATCGAGCTCGCTCTGAGCGCTCAAAATATGTCAAACCCAATGAACTATAGCCAAAAACTGGAATGCGCGCACATTGCCATATCTGCCCAAAAAATGAAGCCATGAAAGACAGATGCCACAAGGGGGAATGTTGTTTTTTTCTGTTGCTCGCTGACATATGACGTTTTCGGTAGTTTTGTCATATTTTCCTTCACAGGTTCCATCAATTGGAATACGTGTCGGAAGCAATTTTCGCCATTTAACATAATGAGTGCGACAAAAACAGGTATCCCCTCCGCAGCAGCTGCACTAGGCTTCACGTTCTTCCTTATGTGTTAGCATTCCAGTTTTTGGTTATAGTTCATTGGTCAAACCAAACACAATCAAGCGTTGTCGGAGCTTCAAAAATAACGGAAGAGAGACAAAAGTGCAAGCTCTGAGTGCACCGAGAGTGAACCCAAACGCGCCCCTGGATGGATGGATGGAGAATCAAATAGATTAGAAATTGGAGCCGTTTCTTTGCGGTCAGTTTTTTGGCATTGGTTCAAAACAGGTTTGAAATATTATAGACGTCTTTTTCTGACGGAATGTTTTGAAACGTTTCAAAACGCTACATTTTTGTGTTGCAACAGTGACGTAATATACGGAAACGGTTCAACCTTTCGAACTGCTCTTTCAGCCTGTTTCAAAATAGGCGTTAAACAGCTGACCTCAAAATACTACAAAACAATAATTTTAGAGATGTCTTGGGCTCCGTTTTGAAACGGGTCATTTTTGATCACCACCGATCCAATATGATGAGGTAGCAATCGAACCAGTTTTGAAACGTTTTAAAACACGGTTCGACAGAAAAAGACGTCTTATATTCTCGGGATGACGTCACCAAAATTAATTCAAAATGACGTTTCGAAATACAATCCAATAACCCTTTTCACGTGGCTCCGATTTAACAAACCGCAACATACCGCTCAAATTCGAGTGGTATCTATCACGTCACTACGCCGCTTTCCAGCTGTGTGCTTCAAGCACGGTGCAGCACAGTGTTCTGTGTTTGAAACGCAAAAGTTACCTGCTCTCGAAGCGCAGTACGGCTGGAACACAAACACGCGTTTGAAGTATTTGCGCGCGCAAAAGCTCGATTGCGTGCTCAAAAGCGTCAGCTGGAAAGCGACTTTTGCCATAATTCAACCGACCCCGTAGTTCTTAAACAGCTATTTGCACCGGTGTTCCTTAAAAACAAACTAAGTTAGGTAGAGGCTAAGCTTAAGGTGAACCTTTAGGTTGAGTTGCTTTGCGGCAACATGTATTTGGCCGACCAAATGTTAATTTTTCAATATTCGCCATACTCAATCGTTTGGTGGTCGTTTGGTGGTCTTTGGTATCCCACTTTTAATATTTGGTGGTAATTACTTAGGCAGTAAATAACAATTAAAAATTTCATATGACGTTGGCCGACATAACCTGATTCTAATTTATTTTTTGGCCCATTTATAGTCAAATCGAACGGAAATCGTTTGGTGGTCACGAATTTACCGAATTTAGCGTTTGTTAGTCAATAATACCGGAGTCATTAATTAATTAAGATTGTTTTCTGATATATTTTAATTAATCGTCGCGCATGCGCATATATTATCTGTTTTTCATTGAGCCGCCTCGATCGCGGCGTTGCCGTTGCGATCCGGAACTGGCGGTGGGCCGGTGGCGTGTCAACTCGCGAGTCGCGGACTCTGCTTGTACTGGATACTAGATTACTGGATTGTCGTTGTCGTGGTCAGTGGTCGCCACAATAGCAAAAATGAAATTAACTGGAGTTTTATTTTGCGCATGCGCGACGAATAATTAGAATATATCAGAAAACAATCTTAATTGATTAATATCTCCGGTATTATTGACTACCAAACGTTAAATTCGGTAAATTCGTGACCACCAAACGATTTCCGTTCGATTTGACTATAAATGGGCCAAAAAATAAATTAGAATCAAGTTATGTCGGCCAACGTCATATGAAATTTTGAATTGTTAATTACTGCCTAAGTAATTACCACCAAATACTAAAAGTGGGATACCAAAGACCACCAAACGACCACCAAACGATTGAGTAAGGCGAATATTGAAAAATTAACATTTGGTCGGCCATACACATGTTGCCTTGCTTTGCACTGACCAAATCTTAGTTAAGAATTGAAATCTGTTGGCAACAGCGCAAAAATGCGTATTTCAAGGCAGAAATGAAGGAGGAGGTACCTATTTCTACAGTGGCTAAATAAACCTTTACATACAGTGGCGACAATAGAGGTCCCGCCGCCATCTTGTTCCCAACCTCTTGTTACTTTTAAATATTAGTATATAGGATTTGAATGGACATCTATCATAAAAAATTGAAATCGACGTATTTGATGACCATTATTAGGTCCATCAAATACGTTGTTTTCCATGATTTATGATGGATGTTCACCTAAATCCCATATATTCATATTTAAAAATAACAAGGGGTTGGGAACAAGATGGCGGCGTTTTCAATATAAATATATGCGATTTTAGAACCAATCAAAAATGAGACAGCAATTGTCGCCACTGTGGGTTATAGAGTCACTGTACCTATTTCAAGCAAGGAATTTTAGGGTTGACAAACTATCGAAAAAAAAACTATCGATAGTGATATCGATAGAATGGCCTACCCATCGATAGTAACTATCGATTGTACTATCGATAGTTTGCTCTGACCAAAGTAACCAAATTTGTAATTAATTACGATAAACATTAACCTCCAACCTCCATCAAGTCCATCAAAGTCACTCGTCATTCCTCCTAACCGAAAAATTGGCAGCACAGCATGTCTATCCCCAAAAATAATTACAGATTTCTCAAAAAAACTACAGATTTCTTTATAATTCCCTCAATATACAGATGTTTTCATTTACCTTTGACTACATTGGAACTATCGATATTGGTACAGGTCAATCGATACTATCGAAAATTAAAAAACTATCGATAGTATCGATATTCCTATCGATAGTTTGTTATCCCTAGAATTTATCCGTTAACCCATCTGCGAATAAAATATAAATATTTTCGTTAATTTCGTCTTTTCTTTTATAAGTTATGTCACGTAGATATTATTTTGAATATATTTTTGGCATTCTGGTGCACAATTCTGTAGAAATCACCCAATTCAAAAATAGTTTTTAAAAAGAATTTATATCGAGAGTATAGAGTATATGTAGTTTTTTATAACTAAACTCAATTATCTTCCAAAATTTAGTAGTTCAAGTTGCCATTTTGCTGTAAAAGTAATAAACTATAAACGCAAAAAAATAAAAGCATTAACAAATAACTAAAATAACAGCAACAACCATAAAAAAGCTTCGGAAAACTGGGAAGGGAAAGGAGCAAGTAGCTTGTGTTCAATTTGGCAGTCGAAAAATTAAAATACCCTACATTGTTTTTGCTATGAAAATAAACGTATATATATATTTTTGTATTTGCTTTAAACATGCAGTCTTCAGAGAAAAGGCTCTTGGAACCTTGGAATTAAGCGGAGAAAATCTGGGGCTTAACTTAACTAGGCTTGAGGTGGACCCTTACAGCGGTGCAAAACAAAATCGTAGTTTGAGTTCTACTTAAGACTAGGCTGACCTTAAGTTGTAGCGGTGCAAATAATAATTTTTCTGGACGAGGGTAATTAAATATCAGGACATACGGTATAAATTCTGGACAGTTTTATTATTGCAGAGAACAATACCATACTACATAACATACCTACTGATACACTAAAAAAAACTGTCCAACAAGAATTCTTTGGGTAAATAGGAACTGATAATTTAAAATTTTATTTCAAAAGTACGCAGATCAACAAATTATTTAAAGAACATAGAAAGTAAGCTGTGTTATAGATACAGCGTCTGAAACGATTTTTTTTTTTTTCACTTTTTGCAGCTACGATTAACTTCTTATCACCTCTTACAGAATCATCAAATTCTTTGCAAGTATAAGAATAATTATAATCTTTAATTGCAGTTCTGCCTTGATGTGTTCAATGCACAATTGATTACGCGCATAAGTCCACAAAGCTGAACGCATTGAAAAAAGAATTTCAGCGTCATCATTGAACCCAAATACCTATAAGGTCTGTTTCTGCAGAAATCACAAACCAGTCAGAGCGAATTTCATTGGTTGAAAACAGTCAGAAACAGTCAGAAAACTAGTTTCAACCAATGAAATTCGCTCTGACTGGTTTGTGATTTCTGCAGAAACAGACCTATAAAAAATACAAGTTGCAAAATAATCCAGAAATTTTTCAACTCAGTATTAGTTAAAAGTAATAAATTCCATTTTCAAGTACCTAGGTAGTGTATGATTTTATAAACCAGAACCAGGTTTATCATAGCCGGCTTAATTTGACAGAATTCTTCATCAAGTTAAAAATTAAGTACAATAGGCGTCCTGCAATAGGTTGTTACAGGACGCTGGACAATGAACCCCAAATGGTGGACGTCCACCGAAATGCAGGACGGTTGGCAACCCTACTCTTGTTATCTCTTATGGTGGGTCCTCATGTGCGCGCTGTGAGCGCACCACAGTACGAGCGCACTGAAAGCGGATCGAAACTACGCTGGTTTCCGCGCACTGATCCCCATGGAACAGTAAATTCGGCCTTGCTCTTGCGGACTGACTAGAGCAAACAAACAGTAAAATTCAATGTGGCGTGGAGGCCAAGCAAACTTGTTTTGAATATGTTTTTATGCGTATTTTAAATTATTTTGCATACAGTTTTGCTTACAACTTTGATTTTCATTATTGAATAAAATATTTGTAGACTAGGTACCTAAACTATTAATTGGGACAGAAACTAGATATTTTTTTGTGTTTTTTGGCCCATGTGTGGCCACCACGCCATCTTGAATGTCACGTGGTTTGAATTGCCTAATAAAAACATAATAATAATTTTGTATTGTTATAGGCGTTTTCTCGCGTCTCAAATGTTTCAAAACATTTTTCAAAACTGGTTCAAGTAATGTCACCATGACGTCATAATTTCTCGGCGCGAGAAAATGGTTTGAAAACGTGGATTGGATTGTATTTCGAAACGGTTTGAACCTTAGACCATATAGCACACTGTGTTATATGGTCTAAGGTTTGAACCAAGAATTTTGAACCAATTTTGACGTGACGTCATGGGTTTATCGCGAGAATTTACTGTTTCAAAACAGTGTTGAACCAGTTTCGAAAAAGTGGACGCGAGAAAACGCCCTAGGTTTTTTGTTTTTTGCTTATCAATGAGAATTTAATACATCTGTCAAAACTGGTATTCTAACAATAAATTGACATGTTTTGATTGTTGATTTGAACCAATCAGATTGTATAGTCCAACACATACCTTTTTAAAGTCACGTGATTTTTCTCTATCCTTGTTGAATACATCTCAAACAGCGGTGATAGTAAAATTGACGAAAAAATTGCTGTCTAATTATTGTTCATAAAATTCTTACCTGAAATAGAATCCGTCACTGTCATCAATTAGTTTGTCAAAGTTATTTTAGAAAATAATACAATGACAAACACAGCTAATAAATTTGACTATATTAACCTTTTTCCAACTCGAAAAGAATCAAATAGAAAACGGGTACCCAATTCAAGTTCAGAATCTATTACAAGGGGCAGCAGAAGCGACAAAAGTGAGTCTCGCAACAATTGCAAGTATTAAAATTCTCATCTGATTGGTCAATACTACTTCAGAAACGCGTTTGTAAAATGCTAGTGGGAACATATCTTAAAATTCAATAGTAATTAACCACAAGTAGCTTTTTGTAGGTGATATCAACGACCTAAATCAACAAACATACGTTTTTTGCCACCAATATCACGTGACTTTAAAATGGTATTTGTCGGACTATAATTACGCGATAATTTGCACTAATGCAAATTATCAGATAATTGCATACTAACTGGGGTGCGATTTTCGAAACCATTCGAGTACATTTCGTACACGAAATTTGATTGACATCAATGTAAATTAAATGGGGAGCAGACAAATTTCGTGTACGAAATGTAGTCGAATGGTTTCGAAAATCGCACCCCTGGTGCGAAAACTGGTGTTTTGACATTTTTTGACAACAAATTTAAATTTTTGATTTATGAAATTCTCTCATTATAGTCGGAGAGCCAGCGCCAAAAAAGTGCAAGAGTTTCATGAAAGCTGAAAATGTAATATAAGCTTGTATTTGTGATGTATATAACTATACTCGAGTCAGCAAGTGAGGTAGCGGGACAAGCTACGCCCACGCACCTTTGAATGTGTAAAAAAATAATCGCGATGAAAGAGTTTCATGACAGCTGAAAATCTCTCAATCCATTGTTTATTTGATAAAAAACATGACGCACATGGTCAGATAGCATTATGTTTGGACAACTAGAGTCAGCATGCCTATCTATACAGGGTGGTCCATTTAACTTGAGACAGTCTAATATCTCGAAAACGGTGCGTTTTTGAAAAAAAAAGTTCAAATAAAAGTTACATGGTATCATGTAGGAAACAAAATGGCGGTACTGATTTTTGACTTTGACAACGTTTTCAAGGTTATTTCAAGGTCAACTCTTTTTTTTCAATGGAAATATATTTTTTTATTACAGAATCTTATTCTACAGAAAAAAACAAGTAACTTTTACTTGAAGCATTTTTCGATCCGGTTTCAATTTAAGCTGTAAAAAAGAACGAATAATTTTTTTGTTTTCTCCTCACAAAATCGAACAGTAGAGAAAGGTTACCAAAAATACCTCAAAAACTATAACAATTGATCAAAATGATGATCGCCAACTTCAACACACTTGTCAATTCACTTTAAAAATCAAACACACAGTTTATCAAGAGGTTCCCACAACACCGGATAATATGATGGAACACATAAGAAATGCTTAGAGCTGTCAGTAAAGAAACTGTAATTTGGTGCCATGAAAGCTTTTTACAGCGAATTAACAAGTGTGTTGAAGTTGGCGGTCGTCAATTTGATCAATTGTTATATTTTTTGAGGTATTTTTGGTAACCTTTCTCTACTTTTCGATTTTGTGAGGAGAAAAAAAAAATTATTCGTTCTTTTTTATCAGCTTAAATTGAAACCGGATCGAAAAATGCTTTAAGTAAAAGTTACTTGTTTTTTTCTGTAGAATAAGATTCTGTAAAAAAAAATATATTTCCATTGAAAAAAAAGAGTTGACCTTGAAATAACCTTGAAAACGTTGTCAAAGTCAAAAATCAGTACCGCCATTTTATTTCCCACATGATACCATGTAACTTTTATTTGAACTTTTTTTTTCAAAAACGCACCGTTTTCGAGATATTAGACTGTCTCAAGTTAAATGGACCACCCTGTATAGGCATGCTGACTCTAGTTGTCCTAACATAATGCTATCTGACCATGTCCGTCATGTTTTTTATCAAATAAACAATGGATTGAGAAATTTTCAGCTGTCATGAAACTCTTTCATCGCGATTAATTTTTTACACATTCAAAGGTGCGTGGGCGTAGCTTGTCCCGCTACCTCACTTGCTGACTCGAGTATAGTTATATACATCACAAATACAAGCTTATATTACATTTTCAGCTTTCATGAAACTCTTGCACTTTTTTGGCGCTGGCTCTCGGACTATTAAATACAACTCGTGCGATGGAAATATATTTATAATTTTCGACAAATTTGCACTCATGCTTTTTTAACTGAAAAAGGAACTCATGCTCTTTTTCAACTAAAAATGCATTCGGGCAAATTTCCCAAAAATGATCAATAATTTCCATTGCACTAGTTATATTACTATTGAAAATATCCCTCTTATCTTGGCATAGACATATCATGCAGAGAAACGTTGCAAAACTTTCTGTTATTTATAAGATCCAAAAAGAAAAAAAAAATTCAGTGAGAGAAATCTTCACTGAATAACAAAGGTTGCAACAAGGAACAAGCAATAATTTGATTGAGGAAATGAGGATAAATGATAAGAAGAAATTTTTCAATTTTCTGAGAATGTCACCAGAAACATAACAAAATTGTCTATAGTTGAACCTGCAGCCTGAACACCAGTGCGCTTGTCTTCCAGTCCGCACATGAGGATCCACCATTACAGTTACCGAGATCCCAATGATGAGACTCGAATTTGGGCCACCCTGTATACTGGAAAATAATTTAGGAATGTAGTACTCATGTTTATCTACAAGTTTTGTATTTAGTTTTTTCTCCGATCTCCATTAGTATAGGAGATATAGACCACCACGCGCTTATTAATTCACCCTGTATAAATAGAAGAAAAAAATATAGAAAAGTATTTATTCATAAATTGTACATTTTTACCTTTTAGTTGGCTGAAGCAGCATGTTTTTCAAATAGCGGAATTAAAAAATAGGCATTCCATTTAGATCTAACATAATCAATAGCATTTTGATTCGAATTATTTTTTAGATTTCGGTCTGCGCCATTTTCTAAAAGAATTTTAATTCCTTGTTGATTATTGCCTAGTATAGCACGGTGCAATGGTGTTTGTCCATCATTGTCCTGGGCATTTATATTACTTCCATGTGCCAACAATTTAATAATTACTGCGTTACCACCAAGTGAGCAAGATGCTAAATGAAGAGGTGTATGACCATTTTTATCTTTTGTTTCAATGTTAGCACCAAGTTTCAAAAGAAGTTCAACTGAGCGGAAATTAGGATTTGTGCTGCATGCCATATGGAGTGCAGTTTGACCAACACTGTTAAAAGCATTTACATTAGCATTGTTTTCAAACAAAATAATAATTACTTCATAATGATTTTTTTTAATTGCTGAATGAAGTGGTGTATGATCATTTTTATCTTTTGCTTCAATGTTGGCACCAAGTTTCAAGAGAAGTTCAATTGAGCGGATATTATTCGTGCAGCATGCTATATGTAATGGAGTTTGACCATCTCTGTTAATTGCATTCACATTAGCATTTTTTTCCAGCAGAATGATAACTACTTCGTGATGACCCTGTTCAATTGCTGAATGAAGAGGTGTATAATCATTTTTATCTTTTGCTTCAATGTTGGCACCAAATTTCAAAAGAAGCTCAATTGAGCGGACACTATTACTGTAACCTAACATATGGAATGGAGTTTGACCAAGACTGTTAATTGCATTTACATTAGCTGTATTTTCCAGCAATATGCTAATTACTTCATGATGACCCTCTTTAGCTGCTAAATGAAGAGGTGTAAAACCCCATTTATTTTTTGACTCCTTTTCAGCATCACAAACTAGTAGAGCTTTGACGATTTTGTTTTGTCCTTTCTTGGCTGCCAAATGCAATGGAGTATTGCCTTGATTATCTACAGAACACATAGAGTCCACACCTTGTAATTTTAAAATTGATGTAAGTTTCACAATCTCCTCTTCAGTGGGTAAAGCTGATGTCACACTAATTTCTTCTTTTGCTTTAATATTTTTCATGGCCTCGTTTACAGTTTTTGAAACTGCATTATCAAATATATCAGAATCATTATGTCCAACTTTATTATCATGACAATAACTTTTTCCGTCATATTCTTTCCATAATTCAGTGAATTTAACCTTTAAAACATACACCATTCTAGTTTTCATCATGCTTTTCTCTAAAAATTTGGAATTATTCATAATAAAAATGATCTTTTTAGATTTATTCTTGACGAGCTTTGCCCATGACATTAATAACTCGAAATAATTTTCCAGTTGTTGCTCATCGTCTATGCCTACTATGCAAACCAATAAATCAGGGAAGTTGGTCCAGTTCTCATACTGTTGTTTATTAATTTTGATAACATTCTGAAAATCGGTGAATATTTGATCTTGATGTTGATTTGAAAATCCTTCTTTTTTCAGGTTTTTCAACGTTTTAGCTAACAGAGCAGACATCAGACTAGTTTCTGGTGTTTCCAGGCACAGTATGTACTTCTCATTATCTTGAAGCAATGCTTTGGTAGCATTTCTCACCGTCAACTCCATAACGTCTAGTTTATAAAGAAAGGCCTCTGAATTAGGTCTTAAAATTTCATCAGCAGGATTGGTATCATTATCAGCTAAGGCTCTAGCCATTGTTTTGTTGTTTTCAAAAAATGCTTTGAGTGAACACGACACCTTTTTGCTTCTACAATCTGAAATGAAAGACAAGTTTCCGGAAATTAGGGAAAATAAAATAGTAGAGAATACAATCATTACCTTATTGTTTGAAAAATCAAACCCAGAAAAAAGATATTATTTGAATTTATTACTTAACTTCTAAGCTAAAAGGCACGTTTGGTACTTGTTCCGACGACTCTTGTTACTGAACTGTCGTCTGTATTCTTCTGACGAGTAACGACTGACGGACGACGGATGACCTAAGTACAGCGACCATCCCATGACGACCCAGCACTTGACCTTGAACTTGCTAAAGGGTTTATCGATCAATTTTTATAGTATATTGTATATTTCCTAACTATTGTGAGATCACTCCACCAAAACGGATTGCTCATCCTAAAAAGGCGTGTATTTTTTTTTAATTATCTTGGATAAGGCGTACGTTCGCCAGTTCTCAAGTCGGCAGCTAGTCTCAGGGTGACGTAAAGCAGCTTGTACTGGTGACGTCACCCGCAGACTGCGATGAAATGGTTGCTATTCAAGCTGAGCTTGTGAGTGGATTTTTTCGTTGATTTTAAATCTAGGAAAGGTGATTTGAACGTTTAGGAATTGAAGATTTTAAAGGTACGGTTGTGCGTCGCGTAGGTATATGTTATAACAAACCGTGTACAAGGTACGCTTTGTTAGTGCACGTTCACATTAGTTGTATTCCTTTCAAGAGCTTGAAACACTCGAGCTACTCGCTCCGGTGTTTAGTCGCCCCCGATTTGCAGGGAACAGATGCGTGGTGCAACAAACATTTTTCAAAAGGTATAAGCGCGTGAAGCCCCGGAGTTGTTTCGGAGCTCCTCCTAGGTGTGAAAGGAATACAACTATTGACACCGCTCGAGCGGTGAGCGTTGCGCGATGCCCAAAAATAATTTCAACATTATATTTCAAATGAACATGTTAACACCGTGGGACGCGCCGCTCCAGTGTGAACATATTCATTTGAAATATAATGTTGAAATTATTTTTGGGCATCACTACAGCGGCATCGCGCAACGCTCACCGTTCGAGCGGTGTCAATGTGAACGCGCAATTAGGATAGTACGCGACGCCGCACAACTGACAACGTAAACGTCGTCATTGGTTCAGGTCAGGTATGACGTACACCAAACATACACCCGTTTTCTGACGTCAGAAAACGGGTGTACGTCATACCTGAACCAATGACGACGTTTATGGGTCTGTTCCCACAGGAGTCTTTGACAGTTTGCAAACTGTCAGTAAGCATCGCCCATACATGTTTTCAATGTTGTCGTTCCAAGAATAATCTGTAAATCAGCTGAGCGATTGTTTCTGACAGTTTGCAAACTGTCAAAGACTCCTGTGGGAACAGACCTGTTGTCAGTTGTGCGTCGCGTACTATATTCTATCAAACCATACCTTTAGGGCGAATCCCCACGAACGTAATTGACGTAAGCGTAACTATTCACGTGATTTAATTTGTGCGATTTCATTGGCGGCAGTGCAGCCATCTTGAATTTTTGACATTACGCTGCCGTTACGGCAAAAAGTTAGATTTTGTTGAACTTTTTGACGTAATCGTGGTGGGTTTGTGACGTTTGTTTTTGTGTAACCAAAGTTGCTTTCGGGTGCCTCCCTTTGGGGAGGATTTTCATGCATCCGTTTTTCCGTCGAAATATGTCCGAAAAGTCTTCTATTTTGACATATTTATATACGATTATGTCAGAATAGAATGTTAAACGGACATTAGTTTGTCGGAAAAACGGATGCATGAAAATCCTCCCTAAGGGCGGTTTCACACGGACGTGGATGTCTTAATACATATACGTGCATACATCAACGTGCAAACAACAACGTGCACGGCGTTTTGTACAGACGCTCGCACAAAACTGCAGTCTTGCTATTCTTGCTACAGTATTCCAACCCAACAAACACAAGTACGTCTTTAGTACGTCCATAATTCGTACTTTTTCGGACGAAAGTACGTCCGGGGACGTACTTTTTAGGTCCCGCCGACGTACGAGGGACGTCTTTAAGACGATCGTTTTCCACAAAATAGTGCGTCCCACGTACGTACATTCAGGGACGTACTCAGTACGGCTTTTTAGGTACGTTTTGGGGACGTACATTAACGTACGTATTTAGTATAGCTTTTTAGGAATGTGTTTGGGACGTACAGGGTTTTCCCATATATTTTTTTGCACCTTACCAGAACTGGTTGATTGAATAGGTATCAAAAATATGTAAATACAAATGTTATATTTACACCTTTTTGATACCTATTCAATTAACCTGTCCAGATGGGGTGCAAAAATATATGGAGAAAACCCTAAACATAGAGGTACGAGGTACGTATTTATGTGTAGGTATCTTTATAGTGAAAAATAAAACCATATAAATATTTATTGTATTTTCAAGTTACAATTTTCATACTCAATAAATGCCTCAACAATAACACTAAAAAACTGAAAAAAATTAACACAATATCAAATATACCATACTCTTAAACTTAACCTTATTGAACAACAGTACATACCTACCTAATATAACAAGAAAAATGAAGGAAAAGTGAAGAAAAATTCCAACCAAAAAAAAATATACAGAAATAGATAGGTATTCTACAAACATAATAATATAGAGAATTGTAAAGGGGCATAAACCAGAAAAAGTTTCACACAGTAATAATATTGGTTAAAAGTATTATTATACACACAAAATACATAGTAAATTGGTATAGCCAAGCCGCGAAGCTGCCAAGCTAAACACTTAAACCACAGTTTCGGCGTTGCTGCAATCAATACAAAATGGTTCTCGCGTCACTTGATTTGGCAAAAAAAAACAAAAATAGAAGAAAACAAAACCTCACAGTCCTCACACCACTCTACAAACAGACTACAAACGAGCTACAAACACAAGAGGTAAAAAGGCAAAATCAAACAGGAACAACTCAAGCACGGCGTCATATCAAAATGATGAGCCCTGCCAGTGTTGCCAGATGTCAAATTCAAAATTATCAGAAGAAGTTTGTGTCAATTTTTTTGACTTTCATCTCTAATCTCTATTTATATTTTTCTAACGAAAAAATTAACGAAAAAGAAACGGTGCTGCGAGCTCAACTCATTTCTAGTTGGTAAATGTTTGGTGTGCGCCCAGCAGTACGTCAAAACCACCAACCAACATCGATTAAAGGCGATTAACCAGTCGGTCATAGTTGACAGATAATCAATGAAGCAAACGTCATTTGTCAACCAATCGGTTATAAATGACGTTAAATGCATCGTTTATCTGTCAATATAACCGACTGGTTAATCGCCTTTAATCGACACAAATAAATTTTTAATTTTCAACTAAAAATTTTAAAAATATGCATTGAAATTGTAGTTTCAATAATTTATGGTAGATTTAGCTTCTGATTATTGAATATTGAATCGTAGTCAAAATTATGGTAGATTTCGATAATTATCGGGTCATTGGCAACACTGCACCCAGTGCACACTGCATCCTGCCGTAGCCAAGCGACCGAAACGGCGGCGTCCCTTGTTTTCCACTCATTGGTTTATTTCTTGGTTCATTTCATGTTTCTTTTAAACATTCGACCATTTATTTAGGTCAGGTACCTAAATGAACTATAAATCCTTGATTATATGACCTGCCTCACAAAACATTTATAATGACAATGTATTCTTATTTATTTAAGTTTAGATTTAAGGTTTAATAATAGGAATCCACGTCAGCCTGCATTTGGTTCACATAAATTTGGTTTAGTAGGGTTTAGAGGTTAATTTGGAAGGCTTCCGTATATTCTGCTCGGAAATTGCATATTATTTAAAAATATATTATGATCAGGAATTGATAAAAAAATCATGAATAGATGGGAATGATCCAGCTCGTCTTGTATTGTACGTCTTTGAAACGAACATGTACGTCTTCTACAAGACGTATGCAATATAGATTTTCACGTACGTTCTTAGTACGTACTTTTTTGTCTGTATGTTAATACAGTTTTTTACGTACGTACTCAAAACGTACTTTTACATCCCGGACGAACCGACGTAAAAAGGACCTAACATGTACGTCTTCTGTACGTACTGTGTTTGTTGGGAAGTGTGCATACAAAATTGCACATTCAAAAACGCGACGGTATTTTGCATACACATTGATGTTTTTGTTTGCACGTTCATGTTTTCAGACATCCACGTCCGTGTGTAACCGCCTTAAGGGAGGATTTTCATGCATCCGTGTTTCCGTCGAAATATGTCCGAAAAGTCTTCTATTTTGACATATTTATATACGATTATAGCCTAGTACTCATAACTGCGAAATTCGCATTTTTTTGACATTGCTTCGACAATTTGACGTTTGATACATGCATAAAACTTCAAATTGTCAACGCAATGTCAAAAAAATGCGAATTTCGCAGTTATGAGTACTAGGCTTATGTCAGAATAAAATGTTAAACGGACATATTTCGTCGGAAAAACGGATGCATGAAAATCCTCCCTTAAGCGCTCCCGAGTTAAGTCTAGTACTCATAACTGCGAAATTCGCATTTTTTTGACATTGCTTCGACCATTTGATGTTTAATACACGCAGAAAGCGTCAAATTGCCAACGCAATGTCAAAAAAATGCGAATTTCGCAGTTATGAGTACTAGGCTTTAGGGAGGATTTTCATGCATCCGTTTTTCCGACGAAATATGTCCGTTTAACATTCTATTCTGACATAATCGTATATAAATATGTCAAAATAGAAGCGGACATATTTCGACGGAAAAACGGATGCATGAAAATCCTCCCTTAGTCCGAAGTACTCCGGTTACAGTTTAATACAGTTTGACCCGTTGTGTTTCAAGCGTTCGAATGCAAAACGCATGGAGTATGGAGTATGACAGGTGTGAAGCGTTCTAGGAGCTTCGTACTCTGCACCCGAAAGCGGCTCAAGTTATCACCTCTATGGTTATCACTAGCACCCTGCAAGAATCTCTGATTTTCTGAAAATACCTATAGGTCGTACCCAAGAATCGGGTCGTACCCAAAATTTTCGTTGCATTAGATTAGTTGCATTTTTTCTTCATATTTTTCGTATTTTTCCATTACCACGTATATTTCGTAAAGTTCCTTGAGGTGCCTTAGTAAGTTGCTGTTAGAACTGAAACAGCTTTTATGTTTAACTAATGCTCCTTTGATACCCAACAAACTTTAACTCCTCATCATACTGTATTTTATTTTTTCATCACTATATTATTGTCCTAAGAACAATAACAGAAAACCAGAGGAAAAACTACAACAAATTGGTAAATTTGATTTACAAACCCGGCAAAAAATGAACAAGACATTTAGAAGGTTAGAAATGGGTAGAAAA